AACGGGTGTACCGACCACAGCTATTCCATTGGCCATAGCTCGGCGTCGATTGAAGTACAGATTGACCGAGATCATGGCGGGAAGATGAAACAAACCGAATGAAGCGCCTGAATTGCGAAGCAGTCCGAGCGAGAGGAGACACGAGCGAGAGAGTGGTGAACGAACGAACGAACCAAAGTCAAACTGTACACACGGAAACATAGACAGACGTAAATGTGAACATTGAGCTGAGAACAGTTGGTAAGCCAACCCAATCATTCAGATGGTTCGGTAACCACGACTGGATGTAATGAGCGAAGGTTTGGTTATGCGTGAAAAAGTAACTGATGAGCATCGCTGAGTTACTTTATATGACGCACTGATTACTAACCGATATTTATGACTGATCGCGGACTGAGTTTCCGGTAATGACATTGTTTTCGTGGCGATTTCAATGGTTAATAAAATAGGAATTCGAGAGATTCAAAATGAAACCGCTTTTATTACATTTGGAATAATGTTCTAACATGATAAAACACATTTTGACTCTCGAGATGTGAAGAACTGAGCCACACGGACTCTGTCGTCAATGCGAGAAGGCAGGTTACACAGCGGATACTTCAACTACTTTAATAATACAATATTTAGCAATATCAAGACAACTGGGTAAAGAAAAACTAATTTTGTTGAAAACAAATTCTATTTGTTGCAATGAAATTGAGACTTTTGATTGTTCGATGTCCGTTTTTCTTTTTATTTCTAGTTGTCTTCATGCAATGGTCGTAGATGTGAAGGTGTTATAAAATCCTGGCTTCATTCGCACCGAAAATCGTCAAAAGGATGGGACCTCATGGGTAGAACGCAAGCACGCTACCCACTCGGCAACCGGGTTCGATCACCAGTTGGGTCGATGAATTCGCACTGCTGAAGAGACCCAACCAGGTCGAACCATATACAAAACGAATTTCTACTTTGAAATTGAGTCAAATCCTCCATTACTCACATGAAATAATAAAATGAGACGTGGTTCATTTTGTAATGCTTTGACCACTCGGTATCATTGGATTCACTTGTTCGAGTCTTCGAGCCAGTGAGGGGGGCGGGTCAAACAGTTACAACGGGATAACAAGAATAACATTTTTTTGTTTATTTTACCGTACACTTTTTGATAATTTTTGTTTTTCTGTTCAATGTTTTTTATAGTGTACGGTCTGAACCCAGACGTGTGTGGAAAAAAATAATAANGTCCAGCAAAGTTGTTTAAGAGTCGAGTACTTCGAACAAATCTTCTACGCTTGGAGTCTGCGGAAGTCGTGTTTCATCGTGGTAACTATTTACGACTCTCCAGGGGCATTTTACTAGACCATATGGGACAAAGAGTATGTCGCATATTGGATCTAGACAATGGCACTCACTGTACATCGCAGACATGTAGACCAAGTAATTTGTAATTTTTCCAATCCTGATACTAGTTGTAAACTTACTAATCCTTTTATTTCTGATTCTTTTCCAGAGGAATTGCATCCCAGCACAAATGTCGAAAACAGTACAGAAGAACCCAGAAGATCTGAACGATTACTCAACAAAGCCCACCATGATTACAAAACCCGGAGCTTCATTCAGGCTGTGATGGATGTGGTGATTGCTCATGAGCTGTGAACTCTTGTTTTATTGAACACGATATCCTTGTACATTCCGAATCGCCGCTCATTACTGTTCCATTTTGTCGCTGAGTTCTGTCTTCTGATTTCAATTCGAGTCCTAGTTCTGGGTTGGACTATTACTTCGCGGAATCCGATACGTTTACGAATTACTAGTCTGAGTGCTAATCGTAACACAAACACTACAGCATTCGCGCCAGTGACTTCTATTGCGGATCATGTCTCAGCGTCTCTAATTAACTACAATCCTCATCCCTTGGGCCCCAAAATGGAAGGCGGGCTGCACCAAAAGAAGCCAAAGTTGAAGTTAGCTTCTTCATATTTCTACGCCATGTTATATTTTGATCGCGCGGAGCTTCCTCCAGCTTTTATCAGCAAGTGCAAAGAAGACACATAGAAGTGGTCGATGGGCAGGCATGCGCAAAACGTGACGAAACCGTTGGAGGCGGTGTACAGTGACTAATTCTAGAGAACTACTGTCTACACCCAAAAAACTGAGAACCTCGTCATCGCTCACCCGATTTACCCACGAAACAGGAGCAATGCCTCAGAGACATTGGTTATCGATTACAGAAAGCCGATTAGCATCCTCAACAAGCAAACGTAGAGCAGAACACTACAAACCGCGATGATCTACATCCTTCCTTTAGGGGACAACTGGATGTCATGGCTGTGCCACAGGTGTTGCGGGTTGGAAAAGCTGCTCTCACTTTCGCTATTCGTGATGTGATCTCCTCAACACCACCATCAGCTGTGATCAAGCTCCCAAGGCACTTAAAACTTTCAACCGCTACCAGCTGATCACCAGAGCGTGAGTACAGGCACAGGCTTCTGCCGATCCTGAACAATAACTGCATTGGAACGCGGCAAAACTGGATAAAGCATCCTGCAGAACATCCTCTATGATAATGGTAAAAGGAATGGGGATATAGGGTAGCGTTAACTGCAAAGGGTGGTCATAGTCCCTAATCCGACCCGAAGTATGACGATACAACTCTTTGAGGATCGACACATACTTCTCAGGTAATCCATACTTTAATGAACTATACCATAGTACGGTCCTATTGACAGATTCGAGGGCCGCGCGGATGTCTAAGAGCACAATAATCGTTGGTCTTTGATAAGCATGGCGGTGCTCAAGCAGCTGCCGGAGGATGGACATTTGACCAACGCATCCACTACTGGACCCAAACCCAGTGTTAGGACGGAGCTTAAACAACCCGTCGGATAGCGCACGCCTCTGAGTTAGGCCACGCGCGTGCTCGCAACCCTCCAGACAAGCTGAGCTCGATTGGATGGTCACAGAACGAATAAGCCAATGTTTGTCTGATCGATCAATCGATATGTCAAGGGCACCATCTGATTGGTGCGTCACTGCGCCGTTCTCGAATGCGTGACTTGTCCTATATATTTGCGTATCCAAATCTAGTGAAAAAGATACACACTGACGTCTGTCTCAAGCTGTGTTCTGTCTCCGCGTTATCGTTGGGAGTCGTTCGTGTCATTCGTACCTCTAGTCCGAACACAACTACTGGCGACGGGAAAATTTACTGATGAACAATGTCGATCACGTTGTAGCAGTTACAAGCAGCTCTCAAGCAGCAACAGGTACAATTCGAGGTGGCACACCCAAAGATGACGGAGACCATGTTACAGCATATCAGCACACATCACCGTCCAACAAAACCGGTTAAACAGTCTACATTTATTGACGCGGTTACCGCAAGCATCACTGAATTTGCATACGACCTCGATGATGAAACGACACATGATTCCAGGTTCAAACGTTTGGAGAATATTTTTCGGGTCGAATTTGCGGACACCGATGATGGATGGAAGGTGCGATTATTGCTCCGGAAGCTGGGAACTAAAGAACATGACCGTTACACAGACATCCTACCTAAAAGTCCACGTGATTTCACTTTTGAAGAAACGATCCCACAAATTCCGGACACTTTTGGTGAAAAGTTGTCTCAGTATCTGGTATCAGTGGCTCAAGTTGGCGAAAAAAGACAGATGACAATCTGACACTAGCCAGCATTGTGAACCGAGAGTACGAGAAATTTAATTTGCGCTCAATGACTGACAATCAAGTCAAATGCCTGATATTCGTTTGCGCACTTCAGTCTCCTCGCGTACCAAAAATCCGCACTCGCCTACTCCATCGCATCGAACAAGACATTAACAGACGAATACCCGCGGCTCAAGAACCTCAAGCATGACTCAGCCGTTGTTGAGAAATGCGTCCCGGCTACGGCCTCATCCAATGTCCATGCTGATACAAAGCCACGGTCAACTTCTACCCGAAAGCCGCAAGAAGATGCTACCCGAAGACCGCCGCAGCATGTTGGAAGTGCACGCTAATGTCCCTTCAAGATACACGTGTGTCAAAAATGCCGCAAACAAGGGCACAGAGAAGACTAATGTCTCAACAAACTTGATTCTACCTCAAAGGGACATCACGATTCAATGGAGTTCAGAACACGAAAACAATGTGAGAAGATTTTCCAATACGGATACTCCAAAAGCCTCAGTATGATCGGGGGTAGGTTTCAAGGGTTGCTACTGGTCGTTCTTACCCTGCACTTCGCGAAATGCTCCCATACGATCAAGCACCTCGAATAACTTTTGCTGAGGAAGCCCTACTCAGTGCCTTTTCGTGGTGGATGTGTTTTCTCACCAAAGTGAGAGAACAAAAGATCGACATTCGGGGCTATAACCGGGTTGGTGAACCACTGGTAGTCCATAAAACTGATTCCAAACCAACCAAAACGAGGCGTACGAACCAAACGCACAACTTCCTGGTTGTGGCAGTGGTCACCGGCTCGATTGGGTATGGAGGTGTATTGGGCACCTTGGACGTTTGACCCCGTCCAAAGGGCGTATGATCCGATGAACTGGCACCGGCCCCCAGGGGATTGCGTTTTCACATACCGCTCAGCTGCCTTGCGGGTCAGTTTCCGGCCAGCCAAAGGCTCCGGTTGGAGATTCCTCAATAAAACTCCCATGCCTTGGCCTGGGCAACCTGGTCGTATTCAGCCCACATGCAAACCATGGAACGTTTTTCTTTTTACAGAGGTTATCTCACCATGATTTGTTTGGCACACAGCCTTGCGTCAGACGCGTGATATATATATATATATATATATACGTTCGACACAAAAGCTTGTTCGCATCACCTGATGACGTTTGGATAGATAGCTCTTTCAGAGTCAGTCCATTGAAGAATCAATGCTATGATTCAATGTTTATGTAAGTGGGTTAGATGCTACTAACCGCAACAAACGTGATTTGATTGTCTTTATAGAATATTTCATGATAAATAGTATGTGAACTATCAAGTCACGTTTGTTGTGGTTTGTGGCATCTAACCCACTTACAAAAAGGTTGAGTCATAGTATTGATTCTTCAATGAACTGGATCTGAAAGAGCCGTCTATCCAAACGTCGCCCGGTGATGCAAACAAGGTTATTGTGTCGAACATATATTTCCTGGGTACAAGTATATGAATGAACTGATCAAAGATTACCGGATACGCATGCCTGACGAGCGGCAAGGACCGTGAAACCGATCGTGTGCTCCCAGGAAAATTTTGTCCAATCATTCACATACTACTTATTATGAAATACATATATATGTATATCACTGTGTGTGCATCTGCAGAGCAGACATAACTTGATGGTATAGCTTTATGATGCAAACTGAAAAGTCATTATCTGCGCTGTAACATTTGAGTAACAACATGTTATTTTCAACATGGTGTGAATGCATTTCCTACAAATTACGATTTATTGATAAAAGTTGGTTTTGTTCGTCAATTTCTCGGATTTACAGAAAACTTAATTTCAAATGACTTACCAGCAAGTACGCCGAACGTACAAAGCAGAAAATCCATGTTTGTAGCAAACGAACTGATGAACAAAGCGGCGGACGCGAGGAGCCCACCAAAAATGGCCACCAATCGACAGCCGAAACGATTAATCAGACCGGCTACAACAGGACCTGAACACAAAAAGAAAAGTATGATAAACTGAAATCAATGAGAACGAGTTTAAAATGTTTCTACAATATAAATAATTTATGTTATTGGTTCCCTTGTTCAGATGATGACCATGGAATACACATTCAGTTGCCTAACAAATAACCGTTTATTTTACTTTATATATATATATACAGAGGGAGAGAGTTACCACCAATCTTTGTAGATACGGCGCCAAAATAACCATGAGTGAACGAAAAAATATAGGTAAAAACGGGGAAAATAAAACAGTCAACTTCGGGGAGTAACATTTTGTGTTTGTTTACTGCACGCCATTTTGAGCTTTTTTTGTTTATTTTTGGGATTGTAAACAGGAGAGGATACATTCGCGCCACTGACTTCGGTTCGATGCCATATCCCGCAGTGTCTCTACCCAAAAACAATCTGAATTTTCGGGGCCCTATTCGGGGTGCCGGGAAACCCCAACGGAAGCCAGATCCGAGCACAATCCTTTTAACCCTCTACGCCACGTCATAACCTGCTCGCCTCACTGTTGCTTCCAGCCTGGACCGATGTCTGCGAATAGTGCACGGTGTGGCAGACGGTGCTCAGGCATTCGTAGGACGTGCCCTGGCCACCTAAGACGATGCTGTGAAATTATTTTGCTCAAAGGAAGACTATCTGATCCTAGCACCCGTCGTCTGACCTCATCGCTTTCACGCGATGCTCCCACGATACGCGGGCGATGTTGCGCAGACAACGTTTATCCAAGACTGATAGTCTCTGGACACGATCTGCTTGGAGAGGCCAGACTTCGCCGCGATAAAGCAACACGGTACGTACTCTTGCGCAATGCACACGCCCTTTCACTGAAAGGGATATGTCACCCCGGCACCAGAGAATGCGCAGATTAGCAAACGCTAATCTAGCTTTGATCACGCGTTGAAAGATCTCCTCCTCGCTCACACCTCCGCCAGCCGTCATGCAACTCCCAAGGTAGACAAAGCTTTCGACTACTTCCAGAGTGTCATTATCC